TTATTTAAAAGTTAGTATTGTAAAAAATAATATTTATTTTTATAACTTTTTATAAAAATTTATTATAAAAAGTGTAATTAATACACTACAAATACAAATTAAAATAATTTTAACAAAAATTATGTTATTGTTTGAGAATTTTTAAACTTTTTTTTATTAATATGAATACTAAATGATATAAAATATTAATTAAAATTAATTTAATTATAATAAATTAATATTTTTAAATTAATGCTTTTGCAACTATTGTATGAGCAACAAATGCAACTTAAATCCTCATTCAAAATTAAAAAAATTAATTACATTAAATTGTAAAACATAAATGTATTAAAAAAAAAGATAACGAAAACTTAAATGTTAATAACATAAAAAAAAATCTGTTGTATTTAAGACATACCACGTGAACCGTATTCAACTAATTACAACATGTCACATTAGCTCTGCATTACATGGCATTTTTTTCTTTTTTGAGGATCTTTTAACTTCTACCTTAGATTATAGGTTAAATTTAATTAAATATAATATTTTTAATTAATTTAGTATAAATTTTTATATTAAATTTAATTAAAATAAAATAAAAATGTAAAAATAAAATAAAATAAAATAAAATATTTATATTTAAAATCTATAAAAAAAATTATAAATTTAATATAAAAATTTATATAAAAGTGATTATAAATTTTTAAAATTTAATCTGTATTTATAGGTGCATGTCATACACACCTTTTTTGAAAAATAAAATAAAATGATCCGAGCAAGACGAGCCAAACCCGAACCCATACTCCATAACAAAACCAAAACCCTAGGCCTTAGGGCTTTTGCTTATTTATATATTCAGATTATCTTTCTTAGCCGTCCGGTGAGAAGCGAAGAAAGGAAAAAATGGTGTCTGGATCGGGGATTTGTGCGAAGAGAGTCGTCGTTGACGCTCGCCACCACATGCTGGGGCGTCTGGCGTCGATTGTGGCGAAGGAGCTGCTCAACGGGCAGAAGGTGGTGGTCGTTAGGTGCGAGGAGATATGTCTGTCTGGTGGTCTTGTCCGACAGAAGATGAAGTATATGAGGTTCCTCCGCAAGCGCATGAACACTAAGCCTTCTCATGGCCCGATTCACTTCCGTGCTCCGGCCAAGATTTTCTGGCGTACCGTCCGTGGGTATGTTGATTTTGAATATATCTGTTTTTAGCTGTCTGTGTTGATCTACTTTTGCATTTTCCTTTTGTGTTTTTTATCTATGATTTTGGAATTCGAAAGCTTTCGCTAACTAATTTTGTAAAGGATGAATTTTTATGGAGCATTGGGATAGTTGTTTATTATAGTTGTTGTTTCCCTTAATGGGGTTTGAGTTTTTAAACTAAGCTTAGTTAGATAAATTGTATTTGAATGTTGCAATAGGGTCTTTTTTCCTATGATTGATTATACCTCACATGGCGTATCTGTATATGAACTTGGGATTTTTGTTCTGCTGATTATGACTTGCAATTAGTTTGATATCTACAGCAATGCTGTCTCATGAAACAGAAATTGGTTTCTTTTTGTTGATTTAGGGTTCCATTTATGATTTCTAATTGTCTCTTGATTCTGGGAGTCTTGTAGGATTCTTCCTTTTTAATGAATAAGAAGATTTATGATACTTTCTTTATTGCAGCATGATACCCCACAAAACTAAGCGTGGTGCTGCTGCCCTTGCTCGTTTGAAGGCTTATGAGGGTATCCCTACACCATATGACAAGGTCAAGAGGATGGTCATTCCTGATGCTCTCAAGTGAGTTTCTCCATTTCTCAGTTGTTTCTTTATATGATGTTGAATGGTCAGTTGATTGTTTCCTTTTATAACTCGAAAAAAATTCATGAAATTAGGGTATTGAGGCTTCAGAAGGGTCACAAATACTGCTTGTTGGGCCGCTTGTCAAGTGAAGTTGGATGGAACCATTATGACACCATCAGGGTGAGTTTTAGCTTGTTATCTTATGTTGCCTTTTTCTTTTGATTATTCTGAAGGCATGTGATTATAACGTGGTTCCCATTTTGATGGTTCAAAACTGTCTACTTTTTTTTGTTTCTGATTATCTTGTTGCCTGCAGGAACTTGAAAACAAGAGAAAAGAGAGGTCACAGGTGGCTTACGAGAGGAGAAAGCAGCTGAACAAATTGAGAGTCAAGGCTGAGAAGGCAGCAGAGGAGAAACTTGGCTCTCAACTAGACATCCTTGCTACCATTAAGTACTGAAGATCTTGTTGTTATGTAGTTTCACTGCAATTTTGTTAAAGAATTATCTGGATGGATTTTGACTCAGTTTTCTCTTTTCTTCAAGATGTTGAGACCAAAATTTTCATAAATCTATAGAGGTTTATCTTATTTTTCTACTTTTCCCCTGTAGTATGATTTTGGTGTTATCTCAGACATATTTTTTGTTGGTTGATGTGTTAACAGTTAGCCTTGTGTTCAATCCCCATTACTCATAGTAGTCTTTGTTTATCCTTAATATAATTGTTTCTAATGGTATCAATTTAATACCCCTTGGGATTAGCTGAATTAACAGCAAGGATGGTGGATCTCAGTTATCAAACTGTGATTCTGACCACATTACTCTTAGAGTAAGTGAGGGCGTTTAGGTGTACCAAATTGGTGACTGGTGAGATGTCCCAGTCATTGATACCTGGCAGCTGTGTTTTGAACAAATCATGAGATGGCAGTGTACCAAATTGGCGACTGGTGAGATGTCCCAGTCATTGGAACTTGGAAGAAGTGTTTTGAACAAATCATGACATAGCAATAATTTTGGCCAATTCTAGTTTGCTGCCAAGCTTAGTACAACTCAACTTTGTCAATAATAACTGCATCATTTTCAGATTATCTTGGTATTGTAGCAAAAGATTGCGACTTAAGCATTCTTCCTGTAAAATTGCAAGAGAATAATGCAAACTTTATTAAGCAGGATGCAACAAAGCAGTAATATAATGACTTCTTTTTGTGAACAGAACAGTACTAGTTAAACATATTTTTGTGAAAGGATAAATTTGAAGTTTAGCTTCTAAGCCTTCTTTGAAATTTATCCATCTTCAGTGCTATAGTCAAGCAGATCCAATCTCCGATCTTGTGTAAGTACTGGAAATATGCAAACCTCCATGACCGACTCAATAGTAACGTCCCAAGAACTGCCCAGAATCCTGCAATGAATCCAGCCCCCATGCCAAAGTAAAACCACAAACGTTCAAACCATTCTTCTTCCTCATTGCCACCGGAGTTTGGTTGCTCCACCGTGTTATCCTTAGGGCAGTCCTTCAATGGGGCTCCACACAGTTCTGGATTTCCGATATATGAAGCAGCATTGAAGCTCTGCAGCTGAGTGCTTGACGGGATTTTTCCGGACAAGTTGTTTTTCGACAAGTCTAGCACACTGAGGAAATATAAATCTGCCAAGCTCCTGGGAATTTCCCCAGAAAGGTGATTGGTTGACAAGTCAAGAGATTCCAACACAACCAATTTACCTATCTCCCAAGGAATGCTTCCAGCAAGCGTGTTCCTTGATAGATTTAGAGTGATCAAGCCTTGAAGAGTGGTAACTTCTCTAGGGATTTCCCCAGTTAATTTGTTGCTTGAAAGGTCAATGATCTTCAACAGTTCAAGGGTCTTGCCATATTCATGCTCCCATCCTTTCCATACAATTGATGCATGATCAAGATAATCAGCCCCAATTTTCACGATAGAATCACCATTTCCATCAAAAGAGGTGTCAAAGTAGTAGACAAAATACGAGGTGGATATATACGAGCTCCCTCTTCGAGCAATGGCAGTTAGATTGTTGAGGCAGGAAGGAATGGCTCCTGATACATTGTTCACGGAAATATCCAGCACTTGAAGATATTCAAGTTGACACAAACTTGGAGGTATCTTCCCGAAGAACTCATTTGATCTTAGACGAAGAACAACAAGACTTGTTAGGTTTTCCCCTATCCATGGTGGAATTGCTCCAGAAAAATTATTCTCCCCCAAATCTAAAACTGTTAGTTTAGGGCAGTTTCTCAGGGATGGTGATAATTCTCCAGAAAAACTATTGTTCCTTACACGAAATGATCGAAGTCTCTCTAGGGAGACCATGGAACTTGGGATTGTGCCAGAGAAATCATTATCCTCCAAATTGAGAACAATCAAATTTCTTAAGTTCATCCAACAATCAGGAAGTCTGCCGGATAACAAATTATTAGAAAGGTCAAGATAGCTCAGAACACTGTCATTGACAGTACATAAGAAAGATGGAGATCCTTGGAACTTGTTTTTGGAGAGATTCAACACTGTTGTATTAGAAAGGAATGGTGGTAATGAGCCATAGAACAAGTTGGAGCTTAGATCAATTCCCGGAAAGGAATTGAACTTCAACGGTAGATTTGGCACCTTTCCACTTATACTATTGAAGGAAAGATTTAAGTACCTTAGATTGGGAGGCAAGAACCAAAACCAGCTTGGAATGATATCTGAAATGTTAGAATTGGAGATGTCAAGATGAGAAAATTTGGTTTGCCGTTGTAGCCACCAGGGAAATTCAGGTCCTAACTGGCAGGATCTCATTTTTATGTAATCTAGTTGAAAAGGAGGAATCCAGTTGAAGCTGAAACTCAGACTCAGTGAGTTTAAGGATAAATCCAACTGTGACAATTGGGAGAGGTTGAGCAGGTGGGCTTCAGAGATGACACCATCCAAACCGTTTGAGGAAATGTCTAAGAGCTTCAGGCTTGACATTTGACCTATACTTTCAGGCAATGATCCTGTTAGTTTGTTTCTTGCCAATTTCAATACAGCAAGCTGAGATAAATGGCCAAAAGTGTATGGGGAAAAGCCTTCTAGCTGATTATCATCAAGATTCAACACTCTCAAGGCTGGAAATCTTGCTATATCTAGCAAGGATCCGGTTAGCTTATTATCATTCAACCTCAGGATCTCCAGGCAGTTCATTGTGCATCCAGTCAGGCCTAGCAGTAGATCATGCACTGATCCTGCTAGATTGTTCTTTGAAAGAGTCAATGATTTTAAGCTGCATAGATTCCCCAAAGATTTCGGAATTGGCCATTCAAGTTGATTCCAAGAGAAATCAACATGTTGGAGTGAATTCAAACCCCAGAAAGAATCTGGAATGAGGCCTTTAAGCTGGTTATCAGACAGCGAAAGATCAACAGTTTTACTACTCATATTGATCAGAAGAGGAAGTGATGAAGGATGGAAGGTACATCCAGAGAAATGGATTACTCTAAGAGATTTTGAGAAGTTACCAAGAGAAAAAGATGAAGAATCAACTTCAGGAAATTGGCATGCATCAAAGTATAAGCTCAAGAGGGATGGATTCAGCTTAATTGATTGGAGCCAATTCACAGCTTTACTGAAATCAACTTGACTCATTTTGAGGTGAAGCAAGGAAGAAAGATGAGAAATCCATTCAAAGTTATCAACAACCATCAGATCCATGTTGAAACTGAGATCAAAATAATGCAGCCTGGATAGATTCCCAAGCTGAGAAGGAAGAGTTCCATTGAATCTATTGAAAGAAATGTTGAGATACTCCAGCTGGGCAAGTGAACCAATGGACTTAGGAATTCTAGTAAACCCAATGTAACTGAGGTCTAGATATCTCAATTGTATGAGACTACCTATGAAATCTGGGATATCAGGGAACACGTTGTAACTAAGATCAAGGTGATTCAAGTACTGTAACTCAAGCAAGGAAGAACTTATCTCACCCACGAGAGGTTCACAACTAATGCCAATATCACTGGAGTATGTAATCACAGGACGAAGATCGAGCTTGATGATGTGAGCAGTCTGGTTGTTGCAAGTGACCCCTCTCCATTTGCAACAATCTTTTTCTGAACTTTTCCATGAGGAAAGAAAATCATCAGGATCAACAAGGCCTTTCTTGAAGCTGAGAAGAGCTTGCCTTTCTCTTTCAATACATATTGCACTTGAGTTTCTTGTTACAGCTAAAAGGCAGATTAATTGGAGCAGCAATGCTTTTAGAAGCTGAAGGAATCTGCCAGTTTCTTGAGAAACATTCATTTTTCACAGTCAGAACTCATAAACATGAAGAAAGTAAGAAGTAACTTTGCAATGGTACAAGGAAATTACATGCATTGAGGGATTCTGTTTCTGTCCTCAAACTTTGATGCATATGAGGTTATTATTTTTCAAGGAAATTGCGTGAATTGTGGGGGTATTCAAAATCAACTATTCTATCTTGATAGACCACCATTTTCCACACCAAAAAAGACATTCTGCCATAATATATTCAAGGATTAAGTATAGATTACTGATAGAAAGACTTGAAATTGCATGAATTGTGGGGATTCAAGTCAACCGGACTATCTTGATCAAAGTTGTCAATACCGGCATACATATCGGTTTTGCTACTTGAACAGTATATATTGGATACCAAAATTTAAGATAAGAGATACTAATGTTTAAAACCATCATATTCTTATAAATTGAAAATAAGTTTAAAATGACCATATTTAGTCCCTCAACTTTTAATATATGCACATTTTTTGTCCATCCACTTTAAGTTAAGGGACTAAAAATGTGTATATTTAGATAAATTTAACGGAGTAATTAATAGAAGAACTAAAAAAAATACAGTTTTCATAGTCGATGGACTACAAAAGAATATAAAAAAGTCAAAGATGAAAATTATGTAAAATATTAAAGTTGAGGACCAAAAATGTAATTTACCCTTTTTAGATTTAAATTGGGCCCTACCCATCAATTTTTATGCCGAAATGGTTGGTGCACCAAAATTTGATTGAAATGGATATAATTTGACTAAAACAAAATTTAACCACGTATCATTTTGATTCAATGTAAAAATTGGTAAGTATCAACTGATACGATAAAATATCAAAACATTGATTTTGATAAATATCCATTTTCTACAAATCATGGGAAACATAATGAAGAAAACTTGGTAAGGTGGCTGTCATTATCTGCACGCATTAAGCCTAGATTACTAATAATGATCTTGACTATGAATGCCATTTTTCTTTCAGAAATGTGAGGAAGTAAGGAGTTTCACAAGATGGCCTTGACAGAGAAATGCCAATGGCAAAAAATCAAAATAATGAACGTCGACAGCAGGGTTCGAACCTGCGCGGGCGAAGCCCAACAGATTTCAAGTCTGTCTCCTTAACCACTCGGACATATCGACTGTTTTTGAAAATTTTTCGGTCCATTTTTTATTTATTCAAATCATCCTAATTGTATTTATGATACTATTTTTTTTTTTCCTTTTTCATTTTCTCAATATTTTAATCATGATTGTTGAGTATCTTAGCAGTTAACCCTGAGAAAGAAGAGGAAAATTAAAGTGAAAATACGTGCGATTAACTAATCATCATATATATTTTTGTCTTAATCTAGAAGTAAAAAAATCTAAGACTTTTCATCATTACTTCTATTTGAAACATATGGTTTGCATGTTTTATCATCACTTACTGCTACCCTCCAAAGCTTTATGTGTTTTAGCCAACTACAGTTCATTAGCACATTCTTGGAAAGTTAATTTTTAAAGGTCCAAACCTGAAATATTACATTTTTAAAAAAGCATGAATTTTGGTCAACTAAACTCTAGATAGAAATCTTTGAGGACAATAACTACAAGAACCACTAACACATGTGCATGGATTTGGGTTTCTTTCTTCAGACTGTAAAATCACTTCACTTCAGAGTTCTTCAAAATGTATATGTTTCCTTTATGGGAAAGATAGATTCAATGTGGATTATGAGTAATGAGAATTAATTTGGAAGCAAAGCTGAAGAGATATCATTGCATTGATGCTGTTCCAGAAAGCAACCACTCTTGTTAATTAACTGCAAAGCTGCTTTTTATTTGTTAACATCAGGCATTTTATCATTGAATTCAAATTCATCATTTGCAGTTGAAAATTTGACTTTAGAGCACAAAGATTATTTAAAACTTGCACCCCAAGTTTGTTTAGTGCTGGTTTTATATATATTTTGCTCTTTCTACCTTTTTCAAATCACTTATGTTATAAGATTATTAGTTATTGCTCAATCTATCTCACATTATCTAATGCAAAAAACTGAAGATATGAAGCAGAATTAATTATTTAAGTGCACATATATAGTTATATTAATAATGTTTTGCTAATAACACATGACAATAAAATCTTACAATATGACAAAGTAGTTTTTATTGACTTTTTTAAGTGAGATGTGTGAATTAGTATGCTTTCACTTGTTTGTAAATAAATATTATCGATGAATCATTGTTGTAATTATGTAAATGCAGGTAGAAGATAATGAAGCAGTTAGTTCACAGGTATAAATTTTCAACTTTAAGTTGAATTTAACGACTTGGTCCATAGAAAGAAGGGAAAGAAAAATGGAGTTTGTGTTTTTCTTTCTTGCACTTTTGAGCTGCTTTTCAACTACTGCTACAGAAGCAGTGATGGTGGAGGTAGTAGTAGTGTGTTTGTAACTGGAAACAATCATTACCAAACAAGGACCACAATAATGAATGCCAACTAAATCCAATCCTTGATTATCACCCGTCTCTTAAATCCTCCATTTCATGCATTCTCTTCACTCCAATTACTTCTCCAACCTGGCCCTGGGGTCTCTCTAATTTCTCATTACACCCCTCCATTTAATCATTTGCACTGTTTCTGAATGAATCCACTCTAGTTTCAAAACCCAGAATCTGTTCTGTTTTTTCAACAAATACACTACATTTGTTCTTTGGGTAGAGAAATTTCAGCAGGATTTCATATAGGGTCTGGTCTCTATGGCTCTGAGGTGTTCTTGGTTCAGCTTGACTCTGTTCTGTGGGTGTTTGGTTGTTGGTTTCTGTGATCAAGCAGGTATGTGTAATTTGCTTTTGTCTCTCTGTTATAGTGTAAGCTATAAAAAGTGTTCAACTTGGGATTCTAATAATTTTTTTTTGATTTGGCAACAGATGGTTGTCTTTAATTAGAAATAGAACATGTTACGTTTGATGAAATGTATGAAAGAAAACTACAAACGTTTCAAATGTATGCGCACATATGTCTTAGTGTTGGGTTAACTGATGTTCCTATGGGACAGGTTTCTTGAGCATATCTTGTGGTGGGACTGGGAGTTTTGTTGATTCGTATAACATACAGTGGGTCTCAGATGATGAATACATAAGCTCAGGCAATACAACTAGATTTGAGTATCCAGATGGTACGTCTTCATCTAGTGTTCCTCTCCGATTTTTCCCAGAATCACAAGGTCGAAACTGTTTTAGGTTACCGGTAAAGAATTTATCAGCGTTGGTTCTTGTAAGAGCCCAATTTGTGTACAAGAACTATGATGGACTTGAGAAACCTCCAGCTTTCACTGTTTCTCTTGCCACAGCTGTTACTGCTATGGTAAACCTCAGTATTAAAGATCCATGGACTGAAGAATTTATATGGCCAGTAAGTAAGGACACACTACCATTTTGTCTCCTTGCTATTCCACATGCTGGATCTCCAGTTATTTCTTCACTTGAAGTTCGGCCACTTCCTCAAGGAGCTTACCAAACTGGCTTGGAAGATCTCCCCAATAAGTCTCTTCGAAAGTCTTATCGAATTAATAGTGGTTACACCAATGGATCACTGCAGTAAGACTCTGGCTATCCTTTCTTCACATATGTTCTTTCTTTGGTTATTCCAATATGTTGATGAATTTCTGTTGAAACAGATATCCAGTGGATCCATTTGATCGCATATGGGATCCTGATCAAGGTTATATACCGTTTCGTGTTTCATCCCAGTTTGATATTCTTCTTAGCTTCAACTTGTCAAGTCTATGGGAGATTCCCCCGGTTGCTGTACTTCAGACTGCAAGAGTTGTGGCGCGGAAGGATGTCTTAACATATAACTTGCCTCTTGATACATTGGGGGACTATTATATAATCCTCTACTTTGCTGGGATTCTTCCAGTGTCCCCTTCTTTTGATGTACTGATTAATGGTGATGTTAAGGAATCAGAATATACCATTACAACCTCAGAAGCCAGTGCTCTATATTTGGCAGAAAAGGGAATCACAAATTTGAACATTACCATTAAGAGCACCAAATTTTACCCGCAAATCAATGCACTAGAAGTTTACAAAATTGTTGATATTCCACCTGAGGCTTCCTCAACAACAGGTATCATTTTGCTTTGCAAACTTGATAAGCTTATTTGGTGGCAAAAGCTGACTCCATTCTACTAATGTATTTTCTCTTGCAGTTTCAGCACTTCAAGTTATTGAGCAGTTTACGGGGTTAGATCTCAGATGGCAAGATGATCCATGTTCTCCAATTCCATGGGATCATATCAAATGTGAAGGAAACCAAGTAGCATCACTGTATGTGCCTATTAAACCATGTGTTGAGGATTTTCTTTCCTTCAAAGAATTATTGATATTGGATACTGCTTTCTCTTCAGGGACCTGTCTGACTTCAACTTGAGGTTAATTAGCCCAACATTTGGTGACTTGCTGGATCTTAAAATACTGTAAAGTCATTATCAGACACTTATCAAGTACTTCTGTATTAACATTATCATTTGCTTATAATTGGCTATGCTTTGATTCAGGGATCTGCATAACACATCACTTTCAGGAGAGATACAAAACCTGGGTAGCCTGCAGCATCTTGAGAAATTGTAATGCATCTCCAAGTCTTCATATCAAAATGTTAGAATTTTGGGACAGCATGAATAATATTGCTTGACTAAATTTGCAGGAATCTGAGTTTCAATCAGCTGTCATCCTTTGGCTCTGATTTGGAGGAGTTGGTTAGCCTTCAAGTTCTGTAAGTTCTAATATTTTATTAGACACGCAGTTTTTTCCCTTTTTGTCCCTTTTTGATGGTGTGGGATCATTTGAGAACAATAATCTTAACTAGTATTAATTGGGCTTTTTTTTTTTGTTTTCAATGGAGGGACCTGCAAAACAATAAGTTACAGGGAATAGTTCCTGACAGCTTGGGAGAGTTGGAGAACCTCCATCTACTGTAAGTGTCTTGCAGAAGTATTGCAATGTGGATCGAGTGATGAATATCCTTTTGAACCAAAATTATGTTATGGTTTCATAGCTATTGCATGTTTTATGGCACGAAACTTCCTCTTTGTTTACAGGAATCTGGAGAATAATAAACTGCAAGGCACCCTCCCACAGTCATTGAACAGAGAAAGCTTGGATGTCAGGTCTGCATTTGTTATCCTTTCCTTTCTGTAATGGTAATTGATGTGTCCTGATCAATAAACTTTGTGCAGAACATCAGGCAATTTGTGCCTTTCCTTCTCCACAATGTCATGCAATAATGTTTCCTCGTATCCTTCAATTGAGGCACCACAAGTTACCATCCTTACGAATAGGAAACACAGTCGACATCGTTTAGCAGTTATACTTGGTGCAGCAGGAGGAGCCCTAGTAGCTGTATTTGTAGCTTCTCTAGTTGTATTCTTGTACGTAAGGAAAAGGAGAAGCGAAGTCACGTATACAATGAGTATGTATAAGCTCTAATTGTTATTTATTTGCATAAAAACTATACATGATTCTTATGTAGGCGTCACTTTCCTGTTCAGGGGCAGCCATTGATATGCGAAACTGGAATACAGCTAGAGTCTTTTCCTACAAGGAAATAAAAGCAGCTACAAACAGCTTCAAAGAGGTTATAGGCCGTGGTAGTTTTGGATCTGTTTACCTTGGAAAGCTATCAGATGGCAAACTAGTAGCTGTGAAAGTTCGGTTTGATAAAAGTCAACTAGGGGCTGATTCTTTTATCAATGAGGTTCATTAGCTGAACTCCCTTACCATATGAAATTCTGCCTCTTGTTATATCTGAACTTAAAATGCATGATTCCCTTTTGCCTCTGCCTTTAGGTGTATCTCTTGTCACAAATTCGACATCAGAATCTTGTCTGTCTAGAGGGATTTTGTCATGAATCAAAGCAGCACATTCTAGTCTATGAATATCTACCGGGTGGATCTCTGTCTGATCACCTGTATGGTATGTCATTCTGCATGAAAATCTGTTCTTCTCTTTGATTAGAAAGTTTCCTTGAATAACACTCTGTTTCTGCCAGGTCCAAACAGTCAAAAATTTTCATTAAGCTGGGGTCGGCGATTAAAAATAGCTGTCGATGCTGCAAAAGGTATGTCTGTCAGTCTCTTACCATCCAAAAAGATGCATAGACAATTGTTGTTTCAAGGGAAGGATGGATTTCTGTGGATATTAGAACCAAAAGATCTAGTTGTTTGAAACATCCTAAGTCGTATTAGTTAGAATCTGTAAATGGAACATTCATTACCCTCGTTTCTTTTGAAGGTTTGGACTATCTGCACAATGGCAGCCAACCACGAATCATTCACAGAGATGTCAAGTGCAGCAATATCCTTTTGGACGGTCAGATGAATGCCAAGGTCTGTGATTTTGGCCTCTCCAAGCAGGTACCCCAAGCAGATGCAACACATATCACCACTGTTGTCAAAGGCACAGCAGGCTATCTTGATCCTGAGTAAGTCCTGACAGTTGTAAATTCTTTTAAGCAATTATCGACATCAGCTGACACTCAGTAGTCAATCCTCTATACAGGTATTATTCCACCCAACAGCTGACAGAGAAGAGTGATATCTATAGCTTTGGAGTTGTTCTTTTAGAGCTAATTTGTGGACGAGAACCACTTAGTCATTCTGGAACTCCAGATTCCTTCAATTTAGTACTTTGGGTAACCATTTGTCCTTTCATACTTAATGTTGTATCTTCTTTATTCTTTTTCTTTTTCCTTTTCTTAATTTTTGGTATATTTAATGATGAACTATATAAAAATGATAGTCTCTCCTTTTCTCAAATCCCTTTTCACTCATGTTAAAGTTTGAATTTGAGATCTCCAATTTAAAATCTCAAAATCATATCCAATTAAACCACCTCCTTGTGGGTATACTTAATGTTGTATCCTTGAATGTACATATCTTGCGCTAAACAAGTGGTGATCATGGTTTTGGAATTCTTTTCAGGCCAAGCCCTACCTGCAGGCAGGTGCATTTGAGATAGTAGATGACAGCCTAAAGGGAACGTTTGAGGTCGAGAGCATGAGAAAGGCGGCGCAGATTGCCATAAGATCAGTGGAGAGAGATGCATCACGGAGGCCAAACATTGCAGAAGTATTGGCAGAACTGAAGGAAGCTTATGGCATCCAGCTCTCATATCTTGCATCCTTGGGACACTCAGGTTAAGCTAGCAAAGAGAACATTAACAAGGATTGTTTTTATGGTCTTACATATTATCCACGTTGGGTTTGTAGAGAGAGGAGAGATTGTTAATTTTAGGAGAGTTTGTGAATGGTTTTGATTTGAAGAATAAGTTATTTAACCAAAGGTTTATTCTAGAATCTATCTTATATATAAATCTGTATCAATTCTGCTAGGAATTCTTCAGTATGTATGTTTTGGAACTATACATACGAAAAAAAAAAGAGCCCGAATTAGCTACCAAGATGATTAGCCTCAATTTTATGTATTCATTGTGACTCATCTGAGTTAATTGGTGTATACATAAACCTTATGAGATTATCCATAGTGTCATTATATTATTGACTTTTCTTTCTTTAAGATATTTGTACGGACTGAGTTTTCATAATAGTCTATGCATGCTTGATGCCTTGAATTTTTTGTGCTAGTTTTTTGGTATTTAATAATTACATTAGATTTTAACTAATTTAGAATCGAGTTACATTGAACTTTACAAGAGAACAACTCTCTTATTACCTATTTTTTTATTCAAAGATTTAAAATTGAAAATAAAAGAATCGAATTTTTTTCATTCAGATGAATAACCCTTATTACTTAATACAACCATGGCATTTAAGCTCAGCTAGGGGCTTGCTCGCAGCACGGATTTGCTTAACAACCTATTACCTTAAACTTGGTTAAAGTTGCACTGGGGTTGAACTTCCTCTTCCGGTGGAACTTCTGATTTAATTCATTATTATGGAATTAATTGATTTCGAAGCATACATTGTCTTTCCAAATTCCAACTGAAAAGGCATTACAATGTTCTTGCCCCCATTACAGTTTGGGATCAGTGAACTTTGCACCCCACAATAATAAAAAAAAGTGTACTCTGCTCCCTCATAGTTATTTCATTAGTAACACGGCAGTACTTCATTTTAATGGGTGTTTTTAGAATTGTTTTGTAATTACAGTTGTGGCTGTTCTTATTCGATAATTATTGTTAAAAAGTATTATATATTTATGTAATTATTAAATAATTTAATTATAATAAATTAATATTTTAAGTAATACATAACTATATGAAAAATATTATCAAAATATTTCAACCACAGTCTAAACCATCAGCAGAGTGGACACTTAAAAGATAGTACTTTTTATTTGTTTTTAACCAAAAAAGTGAAAATTATGGCATTTTTTTATTGTAAAAATACCAGAACATTCCATCTTAACTACATAAATAATGAAATTCAAATGGAACCAACCCAATGTCCACCTATCTTGTGACTAAGATTAGTCATCCCATTTTC